GCACCCTTTGTCCAAAAATTAATGCTTATTATCTCCCAGACTGAAGGAATTATGGGAAGAGTTACTACAGTTGACTGACTGAAAGTCATATGTGGAGATTTCAAATATGCCCTTGGCTTTGACCTTGATCTTTATTTCAAGGTCAAACAGGCCAAAATTTTCTCATAATGGGAATTTTTTGCAAAAAAAAAAAAAAAAAAAAAAAAATTAAATTTCTGCTGATTTTCAGAAACTACACAGACCTAACTTATAATATTATGGGGTCACATTTAGGGTAATCTTGCATCTTTGTGAGTTTGGGGTCAGTCGGTGCTTTATCATGGGAGAAGCAGTCATTAGATCCTGAAACTGAAAAGTCTCTCTTATTTTGGGGCCATGAATGCTAGAGACCTTGTTTGTTCCATTTAGTAGAGCTTATCAAGTCTAACACTGAAGGTGGTGTCCATTTTTTTTTTGTATTCCATACGGTTTACGAGTTGCGCTATATCAAAAAGAACAATGTCACAATATTCAGTGGTGAAAACTCCAAAATTAGCAGAGATATGCCCATAGTTACTACTGAACTTGAATAGAAAGATACCTTGAAATTGACCTTTGACCTACTTTTCACCATGAACTGAACTTCACTCATATAGTTCATGGAAGTATTGATCTTGATTTTTAGTCACTGTAGCCTTTGTAACATAAATATTCTAAAGGGTGTGTCATCACTCACCTTTGCTGCTGCTGTTTAAGACATTTGTCCATCCTCTTAACATCAAAAGTGTGTTTGTTTTACTTCATCTTTACAAAGATTGTTAAAAAGAATTATTTTCATGTAATTTGGGTCTTTCACCCGATAAATCCCAAACCATAAATTTGTTTGACTTTATATACTTCCCAGGGGGGCTTTCTTTGGTGAAAAGGATGTTGAGTTTGAAATTTTGAATTTTTTCAAAGGTCTTTTGTTATAATTGCAATCTATTGTGCACAGTGTCTTCTCTAACACAATCAAACCAATGCTGATAAAATCTCAAACTACATTTAATTTAACCTAAAAATGGTGGTATGTAGTTGATTGTTAAGTCAAACAATTGAATTTGATTTGGAATATTGGGATGGAAATTTGTCTGTTTAGTAGATGATATTCTTTGCTATAAACCATCAGCATAATCTTGACTTCACTTCCAGCTATGGTGTAGTAAGATGTGAGACAACTGGACGGGTATACATCCTGGGCAGTAATGTGATAGACCACATGAGACAACTCCTCAACACACAGTTTACAGTGCTCGCTGAATTTCAGGGTAAGTCAATAATACTTGTTTTTAACATTTTAAGTGGAATAATACACCTAAAGGATGTTGTATTTTAATAATTATGTTAAAACATAACAAACACAGCAGAAAATTTAAAGTGTTGAGAATTTGCATATCATTTATTACAAACTCATATAGGTATCTATTAAGATAATTTTTGGTATCAGATGATTGGCTCTTTTATTTTTTTAGTAGAATGATTTTATTTCGTATAAAGGCATTTGCCCAGATTACAAATGTAAATGGTTCATATAACGTAACTATTGCGCATGCAGAGAGCTCATGTACGTGCACTATCCGTTGCAAAAAAAGATTCTCTTTTTCTAAAGGCATAATAAACATAATTAATCAGGTTAATCATCAAATCTCTGTCATTGGAAGACATAAGCTGTCTAAACCTTTGGATATTTGGTTGACAGGTGTACCTATCTGGTATATATTTTGTTCTTAAGTCCCTGTACATCTCACATGTTAACAAAAAGTGATATTCGTTTTCTATTTCGTCCTTACATAGTGTGCATACCCTCTCGTTCGAGGGTATGTTGTCATGTCTACCTTTTTCAATCATAAGATTATGGTTTCCACACCTGAGCCTGGCGAAAGCAGCTAAGTGCGCTTTCGGGAGATTCAACAATAAATAATTTTCTTTTTGAAATACAGATTTAAATGTACAATACAAATTTAATTTAGACGAGTTCTGTAACTGGCCGTTCCATTCTTGAATGTAGCAATCTTTCATTCTAGTCTTCAAAATTTCTAAAAAATATATCTCATTCTCAACACCCTGATTGTACCATACAAACCCAAAACCATATCTAAAAAGTATTTCTTTAATTTTTGTCGCCCATGTAATGATCTGATACCAACATAATCTTGTAGCACGCTTTTGGATATCTGCTTTCTTCCATTCTCATTAATTTAAGCCAGAATTTGACACACCGACTGAAGTAAGTTATAAACAATGGGAACCTATTTCATGACCTAGGTGACCTTCTGGATGGTACTACCTATATACACCCACTGTGGCCTGATACCACCCACCGCCCCTTCTTACCAGGACCCCATGTGGCAGGGGGGAAGGGTACTGGTCTGGTTCACACAGCCCCAGCACATGGCCATGATGACTTCTGTGTGTGCAAAGAGTACCATATTGGAGTTGTAAGTTGTTTTTTCTTTGAATTCTTTCTTTCTTTTAAAGCTTAAGCCTGTTTACTAGAACAGCGAAAGGTCTTCCATTTTAAATTTATTTATCATTTTTATGTCTACAAACCAAGCCCATTGTATACTTTTGAAAAGGAATTAAAATGACAGTCCAAACTGCTGTCAAAGATCATCATTTTAAACTTTTCACCTTGTACTCTCTGAAAGGGGGAGGGGGTTTGGAAAAAGTGTGTTCTTTGTATATTTGTGAAAATGATGAGAATTAAAATGGATGGCCCAGTTGTGCCTGGACATGCTGAAAACTTTTCGGACCAAATGGATTTTTGTCAGACCGAAAGTCGCCCTATTCATTTGAGACAGATACTACCAGTACGATTAGGTAGCTTACTTTGTTTGTGAATGTGATAGGTTTGTAATAAAAGGAAAAAAAAACGCTTTGGGTTTTATATAATTTTATTAGTGAAGTATGTCCAATGATGACTGTAAATTCAAAATTGCAGTTCTTAAAACTCTCATCGGTCCTTTGGACTGACCAAGTCCAATTTTCTACTGATCCAGACAAATTTCCCAGTCATGACCGACGGACCAACAGTTTCAGCATGTCTGTGTGCCCAGTGTCACAAAAGGGTTGTAATTGATCAGCTAGTGTAGTAAATATTTCATGGTTTACTGTGATAAAGTAACCAAATTACTCCCATTATGTTTTAACTAATCCTTACTTACTTGTAAGGCAGGCACAGTAATTTCATTTAAGTGTATAGCAATATATTGATATGCAGTATCAATATAGGGATATATTGTTAAAGATATTTTTGCACATTTGTCAACTAAGCTAGCCTCTTTTTGTGTGTGTGACTAAATAAAATTCTGTGTGCAATAAAGAAAAGGAAAAGAAATGTCACTGGCAAAATCTGACAAATAAGAATAAACACAGACAACAAATAAGCAAATTGTAGAATAAGTTGATATTGATTTAACGTCTTTGGCTGTCTTTTTTGTTTTCAGGCTAATTTTAAAATCCTCTATTAAATAAATATAACATTGAATGGTAATGGTTTGATCTTTTCAATGTGGAAAATTGTTAATTTTCACAGATAATGTATTATTTCAAGTCACAAATTCCTATAATAAAAACATTCCTATTGAGTGGTAGCAAATTAATTCAAAAGTAGGCAACCCACTAGTTCTTTTTATGCATGAATGTACAATAAATGCTATATAGAAATATCATTTTGATTATTACAAAATTTTTTATCTAAAAGATAAAAATAAGTTTTGCCCACTGAAAAGATTGAACCTTTACCGTATATTTTTTGTTAAACATTGTGTAAAAGTCACAATGGGTGATATTATGTTATTGTTGAGTATACCTCAACAAATATTTGAGGAAAGAAACCCATCTTAAATAACATTATTTATGTATGAAGGCAGGACAACAATTATATTGCCCCAAATTAAATGGTACCCGAGTCTAAGAAGTAGACATCAATAAGTTTATTGTCTGTACAAAAATGCATTTTACAAGGACAACAAATGGTTAATGAGTTATTTAATAGCAATCACAGTTGTGTAAATATGCTACAGTAGGAAGCGTGTGCATTGTTGAAGAATATTGACATTTTTCTACAGCTGTCAACCTTATTGTCTGAATGACTCTGTCCTCATGCCATCAGATATAACCTGAATGCAGTCAAGTTGCTAACATTTTAAATAATTATTTTGTTTTTCTTTTCTTTTCTTAGCTTAATTTTAATTAGATGCTTTCCAAGCAATGCAGAATCTTATTAAAAAAACTTGATTATTGGTCAAAATATAAAACAAATACTGTTTTTTTTTAGACACAAAAAAGAAATTGTACTTATTCTTATCTTAGCATTCATATCAAGCTACAGTGTTTGGCAAATATTTACACTGGCCTCTTTAACTGAAATATGATTGGCATGACAGTCCAGATCACATTGCCAATTGACAGATTATAGTTATTTATTTACAGTGAATAGTGTACTACTGAACCAGTCAGTGCTTTCTCTCTGCTTCAACTTTTTGTCAACAAGTGGTATGACTACATATACTTCTATTCACATCCACTGTTAATATCATCTAAAATAAATAGTGAAATTTTCTGAATTTAAAGAATGCTCCAGCCAATCAGACATCTTTACTGATGAGGCACAGTTGTAGCAGAGAATATAGATCTTTACCAGTTTTTAAGAGGATAAGTACAATGCATGTTAGACCTTTATAACAAATTCATAGAAATTTCAGCAACATTTCTTTCCTCATTAAGGTATGCCCTATCCAAAACCATTAAAAATGATTATCTAAAAACTTGTGAAATTTACCTGTCTCTTTCTTCATTATGACAGTGATTAAATTACTTTTAAGTTAGAAAAAAAAACCCTGCTCAGAATCAGCTTGCTAGAATGTAATTCTGTGGACAGTTTTAGACATGGTGTTGGAGTAAGAAAAAATAACATTGAAATTTCCAGGTTAATGATATTTTGTCAGTATCACTGTATAATGGTCTAATACTCTTTGTGTCTAGGGTCTTAGAGGATCCATTTCACTAGGGTCAGGTGCAGTGGCTCTAATAAAATGTTTCTTTCGAAGATACTGCTTCCACAAACCCTCCAAAATTCCAGTTGCTTGCCCATTATTTGCAGCTGTATTTCTGTCTATCATCCCTAGGAGCAACACTCCGTCTTTTTTTAGGTAGTCATCTATGAATTCCTGCATGTGGTGTTCATTTTCATTTGTGTACATAAGACTTTGTTTGATGGGTGTATAAATGCGCCAGAGATAGAACACCCAAGACAAGAGGCTGTAGCAGTTGGCGAAAAACAGAACCACTAACCACATGACCAGAGCAGTGTACAGCCCCTGTGTGAGCTGGATAGCAAACGTACTGGCAACGCACTGCACTGTGTGCTTGTGAATGGCAACGTTATTCTCCATGATTCTAAAGTCGCAGAAATATTCCACCACAAAAGATGTTTGTGTGTCACTGAAATTGAATATATCACTTATTGAGGTTGCATAGTTTGCCTGAGGACCAAATATGAATGCGAGTTGTAAAAAGATATTACCAATGTACCAGCACTTTAGTGCAATGAAGACTGAAAGAAGAAAACATCCAAAGAAGCGATTGACACCAAAGCAAAAGCTAGAACTACATCTTTTGAGATTTTCTCTCTCCTCGTCAGAGCTGTTGGAGTATTTGTCAAACTGTTCGATAAACTTCTCTTTTGGCTTTTCACTTTCCTCATTTGTAAAATCTGGAACAGTTATTCCTGTATTGCAAACAGCAGCCTTCCAGATAAAGATTGGAATGATGAATAAGATGGCTTGAAACAACAGGAGTATCACTGAAACTCTGTAGTCTGGTCTCTGTTGATATTTCTGATCCAGAGGCTTTGGTGGTGGAACCCCAATTCCTTGTTGGTACTTGTTCAGTTCCAGTGTGTACTTGTAGCCAGAGCCGTAAAGCGAACACACAAATTTCGTGTACTCCTCGTGAGCTGGGCGATAGCGTCCTGGGGTCCAGCAGTTCACGGCTGGAGATCCAAACATTGGAGCGAAGACAAAAACCAGAAATGAAATCACTGTCACAGCAACAAGGACGATTGGGGTATGGAAGTAGTTCAGGCGAAGAAAAAAGTCGCCATCGCCTTTCTTCACTGAGTTCCCGATGTTACCAAGTACTTTGAGAAAGAGAACCATTTTCACTGAAACAAAAAGATATCACGTATGGTAATGTTACATGTCCGTCAAAGTGAGCTAAAGCTTTAAGCTGACTAATACATCTCATTTTTATACTCGGTAATAAAAGTCACTGGTGGGCAGCAGCCAATGAAGTGAATCACATTTGTATTGATTTGTCATCAGAGTGACCATTGATGTCCAAATTAAGTACTGACAAGAGCAGTCCAGGTATTTACTCCTTTGCTGATAACCTAGTTTCTAAGTTAATGTACTGCTACAGTGGTTATAACCACACTAGATTAGGCACTGTTTGAATGACATAATGTACACTATAGTGTATAAAAAGCATGATAAGGTTTGTTTGCAATGATGACAAAATGTCCAAAAATTCATCTCCAGTTTTGTGCAGTCCTTAATCACTTTTTTCTCAAAATTGATGGAACTAGTTGCATGATTCTTTTATTAATTTTTTCATTAAGAACAGCAAAACTATTTTGGAATCTGCAAGCAAGGGATGGTTTATTTTTAGTCGTCTATCATTTTTGTTTTGTATCAAAATTAGTCTAATAAATTATTTGTGAAATGACACCTTTTTAGGTGAATAACATGGACTAAAAAGTAATTTACTTACCATATATCTATAATCTGCCCCGTCCAGAGCTTAGGAGAGCGAATAAAATGACTAATAAATCTGGCTCACATTCTTTTGTAAAGTCGATGGCAGTGCCCTAGCACACTCATGTTCTGTTCATTTCTGTTTGCTCAACACTTTATTTATTTATAATTTGGACTATGAATTGATTTTGTAACAGAGAAAGCGTATTACTCTGTAGAACCATTGTTGTGTCCTGTTATTCACAGTGGCCATCTTTTGTGCTGTGCACTACTGGGTATTATTCCTTTACGTTTGTGTAGGGTTGAGGCTTTCAATTTTGTTTATACGCTGATGAATTAAGCAGCTTATGAATGAGTGGAGGTATTTCATATTAATATGTCCAAAAGCTGCAGTTTAAAATGAAAGTGTAACAGTAACAATGCAAATTATCTCAAATAACAGCTTAATATTGGTGCTAGTCAGGTTCTTTGAACTATATGTCTCAATTATAATAAGTTGCCGCAATCTGGAATACAGTGACTTAATTTGCTTCAAGCAGTTTGGTATTTGTTCTTGAAATTTGACAGGAATTAGGGTTGTATTCTTGAAGGTGGTATGAGTGATTTATGGAATTTCTCTGTCTTAATAACTAGATTTTGAATGTTAAAAACATCATTATCTATACCTGATTGAAGATAACACTGACTTTTTGTTTCAACTAAACAGGGGAGGGGGGGGGGGGTGTCACAGAAAAGATTAAGTCTTGTTTTGTAGGCATATGTTGCATGAATGGAAGGGGGGGGCTTTTACTTCTTGTGTCAGCCTGAGTCAGCTAATCGGTCTGCTTTTCAATTAGAGTGCATTCCCATAGATTTAGATCGATCCATCTAGATCGACCTAACTCCCTGGGGGTTCACGCTAAATTGATGTCAGCCGAGCGCGCACTGTAGTTAATTATACCCCTTACAGCTTTTAGTAGGCGGGACAGACGCTTAAGCCAGCTAAGCTGACAGTAATCTAGTGAGACTCCCCACAGGGATAGATTGATCTAAAATCTGTGGGAATGGGGTCTAAGATATCAGACAAAACCTTGCTACAATTTATCAACAGTATATGGTATTTCTGTAACCACAGGATCTACCTATAGAGAGATGTGGTGATCTACCTATAGAAAGATGTGGTGAGCTGTTCTTTGATGTGGTATATGTGTTGATTTTATTGAGTTCCAAGACTTGGTCAGCACTATTTGTAAAATAAATAACTGTTGACATGCAATTACTCGTCTCTATGGAAACAATATAACACTGGAGTTAGTTGTTAACAATACCTAATGGAATGTGTTGTGAAAGCAGACAATTTGGTGCAGGAACTGTGCCATTGGTTTTAAATTAACAAGATTACATGAAAGTATTATGTTTAGCTTACCCTTTCTTACATCAGTTTACAGATGTGACTTGCTCAGTGGCTATTTAACTTGATATACTTTTGACCATGTTCATTTTCATTTCATTATGTGGGAGTGCCCTACAAGTTCTAGAAAACTTGGTAATTCATAGGTTAAAATTAGTACCTCATATATATATATATATATATATATATATATATATATATATATATATATATATATATATATATATATATATATATGCCTTCAGAAAATAAGCTGAAATCTTTTTATGTATTTTGCTAATATCTCATTGATTTTCTTGTAATAAAACCTTGCTAGAATTTTAATCATTTTATGATCTAAAATAAAATATAATGTACTCACAGGCAGGGGTTGGGTGATGTTCAGTCAAACCCTCCTTGACTCAAATGAGTACAATTTTTGTACTTTTTTTATGATCAAAAAAATTAAACAAAATAAAATTCCAATTGAAAGTCTGATGGTCTTATGAACCTGCATCAGATAATGCTGATGAGTTTTTGCAGAAACGGTAGTACAGTCTCAAAATAACATCTCCTGTAAAATCTTCTCCTAGCCCGGCCATGTCTTTGTTAGGACTTGGATTAATTGTGACATAGTAACAATACCTTGTTTAAATGCCTTTCAGACAAGTCTTGTGGATGAAGATGGGTGTTTTACTGTGGAAGCAGGAGAAGAGCTGCATGGCAAGAATGTGTTGGCAGATGGAAACAATAAAGGTAACACTATGGGACCATTCCCACAGATATTTGGATCAATCAATCTCCCTGGGGAGTCTCACTACATTGCTATCAACTTAACTGGCTTAAATGTCTGTCACGCCTGGTAAAGCTGTTAGGGGGTAATTATCTTCACCCCCTAGCTGATTAGGTAGGTTTGACAGACATTTAAGCCGGGTAGTTGATAGCAATTATGTGAGACTCCCCAGGGAGTTAGACTGATCCAGGTGGATCGATCAAGGCATAGGAACTCAGTCCAATATATGAGTTGATAGGAATTGACACTTGAGCAGTGAAATGATAACAGAATTGTATCATTGCTGCTGTTGCCCACATATGCAGACTGTTGTTTATCAATCTTTAAATGATTTGTTTCTTCCTCTAATCAGCTGTGATGGTATTTGATGATGTGCAGTAGCATGTTAAAATGATATACATTTTATTTTATTACTTACCTGTAAGATGACATACAACATTCATGCTACAATTTTTAAGTGCTTCTTAAAACCTTGTTTTCTTCTGTCTAATAGTTCTTGACATGCTGGGAAGTAATGTTCTGCATCAAGAACTATTTGAACACAGTTACCCCTACGACTGGAGAACTGACAAGCCTGTGATCATCAGAGCCAGCAGACAGTGGTTCATAGCCACAGAAAAGATCAAGGAAAGGGCTCTGGTATGTGCTGATTTTTACTTTAAAACTTGTGCCGTTTTTTCCTTGTCATTGCTTATGCTAGGTATTATTCAGGGTAGGTATTATGACACTATTTAAGCACTCAGTATGGACACATTTTTTGTTTTTATTAAAATATGCCATTAACAGTACATCACACCTAAATAAATTTTGAAAAATAAGTAGAATATGTATAGAATGTCAATTCCTGGTTTAATGTGAAGAGAAAGACATACTTTGACTCAGGGAATCACATACTTAAGTGTACAAAGCATTATATTACGGAGTAAAGAACAGAACTTCCTTTTGTAATTCTAACATTTCATTTTTCTCTTCAGTCCCTTCTAGAGGACATAGAAATGTCCCCTCCGCGCTACAAGCAAGACATGTCAGGTCTCCTAAGAGGCCGACCCTATTGGTGTATCTCCAGACAGAGGGCATGGGGCGTACCTATACCAGTATGCTATCACGTGGAGACAAAACAGACTGTTATTTCTAAGTAGGAAGTTTACTTTTTGAAATTTTTGGAAAATTGTCTTATTGCATAAAATTTCATTCTGACCTTACGGTAAAGTCTTGAAAATTTCGTCGCTTAAAAATTAATTAATATTTTTAATTGTGTAAATCCGACTAATTTTTCAAAATTACCTCTCCCGACTCCTGGGTATGACGAAATTTTCAAAAATCCGGCCTTTTGGCTTTTATCCTTAGCGACTGTTATCTTTGACCCTCCTATATTGTGGGATATTTAAAACTACTTCCTAAGTCGTTTTCTGGTGGTAAATAATAATATATTTATTACTGCATCTCGATTAAGTTAAATTTAACTTACTGTACCCGAAAATGTGTTGAGAATTATCTTCCCGGTAAGAAACATACCTCCTGATAGAGGAGAAGGATCAAGATAAGCTTAATTGCCTCCTTGCATTATAACCTGGTCGCGACATATTTAAAAAAAATTATGCACTTGGCAACGTTTGTTGCATGCAGGGCTTTTCCCAGGATTGAATGTCAGGCCTTCTAAAAGTACCATCTGTAACTTCCTAAAAATTTACAGGGAGTTAAAATAATTGCTCCCGCAGACGATCTTCCGCAATTTAAGTTTCTTGAACTTATATGAAAACTGAACGATCTCCCGATGATGATATGAAAATTGCCTTTTCGTCTCGCTCGGATCGCGAACGATCTCCCTCTGACGATCTTACGCGAACAAAGTCCTGGCGATATATTACGCAAACGATTCTTCGCCGAAGATACATGTATGCCGTGAGCGGGGAAGGGG